GGGGGGGGGGGGGTTCGCTACGGTCCAGAGTTTCTCACTTCATCACTTTATCATAATTGATTCGTTGTCAAAGAATTAGTCACTTGCCAAAAACATTTACCAAAGTGGTTCTGAAGGTTCTCTGGCTCACTGTCAAATTTGGATTCCCCAATGGCAATGCTTAAAGCCTGTTTTCCACTCACGTATTTCGCCGCCGCTGGCGAAAAATTTTGACAAATTTAATATTCATTCGCCGCTGAAGAAATTTGTTCTCCTGCTACAGTTGCTTAAAATTTTCAACTTCTGTTTGACCTTTTGTTCACGGCGCGAAAGAGCAACAAATGAACTTTTTCGGTGGCGAAATGTTTCGCCAGCGGCGGCGAAATACGTGAGTGGAAAACGGTCTTAAGTCACTGTCAGAGTCAATCAGTCCAGGAAGATTCACTTCGACACCAACTTAAGAAAGCAAGCTATGTTTGGTACTATATATTATTGATCTTATTGATCTTCCAAAATAAGTGATATTTTGCTTGAATTCCAATTGGAACATAACAAACATCGTGTTGGTTCGCTTGTACCTTTTATTGTACCTGTATATAATTTTTTTCCTGTGACCAGACGAAAAGTAACCGGCGGTAAAAGTTCAAGTAGCCGGCGGAACTCCGCCGGCCGCCGGCTTATTCTGAAACCCCTGCATTTGGGTAAACTTAATATTTCTGGTTAAATTCCCATGGGACGGTTGTTCAATTTATTACAATTTATAATAGCTTTATTGGCATGACCTTAAATTACAGGTATTGCTAAAGCATAATAATCTAAATATAAATAATCTAAATACAAATAGTCTAAATATAGTAAAAAGGTAGAAATTCCAAGTTTACAAATAGTAAGAAGTACATGCATTATAATAACTATATAGTCAATCCCAATAACAGATAACAGATAACCAATAAGATCTATTTACAAGATATAGGAAAAATTTTCATTCAACTTTCTAAGATTAGAGAAATAGTATGTTAATAATTAACTGACAGCAATCCCAATTTCAAGGTATCTATTTCTTTCCGTAAAACAGGAAGAAATATATTTCGACAGAGATAAAATAGTCTCGTGCTCTGTAGATTTCATTATATCTACTAATTGTGCCTGATCTATGATAATGGTTAGCTTGTTTCTGAGAGTGGTGTAAAAATTCTCTCTTTGGTTGCTGTAGGCTTTACACGAATTTGCAAAATGGTATTCATCTTCCACTTCCCCTGACTGGCAGATTTCACACAGTCGTTCTTCCCTTGGTATTTTTTGATAGCGACCTAACTCAATCATTAATTTGTGGTTGCTCACTCGAAATTTTGTGAGTGCTTTCCTTTCGGTTGAATTTTTTATTGTTGAAAGATATTTCTCTAGTTGGTATTCTGTTTTGAACGTGTTGTAAAACTTTAGTTTGGAGGAGTTTTCGAGTTTGTGTTTCCAAAAATTAAGATATTTTTGCTTTATGTTGTCATGGATAAAGCTTAGTGTTTGAATTGCGATTGATTCCAGTTCTGTTATTTGTGTGTTGCAGTTATAGGATTTCAAAATATCCATAATATTTCCATAGAACGAGGTAATTCGTTTGGAGTGTAAGTCTTTCGAGATAAGAAAAGCTTGTTTGGCAAGTGCTTCTTTAGGTAGTGAATTTAGATGAATAATGTATTTGAATAGTCGCTTGTAAATATTGATTATCAGTGGAAACTTTCCTAGTTCACCTCTGCAAGCAATATTTGTTGTTTTCTTCCCAACACCCAAGTATAGTTTGCAAAATCTCAAGTGTGTTTTTTCAATCTGAGAGTTATCCCAATTGTTAAAGTCATTTTTGATATAAGCACCCCACACTTCTGAGTTGTATAAAAGAATTGGTGATATTATGGTATCAAATATTTTGATAGCTAGTTTTGGGTTTAAATTGTGTAGATTGAGATGTCTTCTTATACTGTATAGGGCATGAAGTGCCTTTTCACCAAGTTGTTTCATAGCTAATGTGAATTTACCATTTGAGTTAAGCTTAATTCCTAGGTAGCAATATTCTTGTACAATTTCTATG